CAATTCAGCCCCTCTAGTTTAATTAATTACACTTGATCACAAAATTAATTCCTAATTAATTATTGACCAATATTAATTAAGCAAATATGATTTCTCCTTTAATATATTATTCTTATAACATATTAATAAATCATAATAACCTCTCTCTCTTTATTTATTTCTCCAATCAAGTTGCTTTGGTGAAGGCAACCCAAAAGGACCATGCACCATCGGGTCAAGTACATACCAAAATAGTTATGGATTTAGACACTAATCCAACAAAAAGGTGTAGGCTTTTTACCTTCCACAAAAGATCCAAGTGAAAGAATGTTGAATCCCACAGACTCTCCTTGTTCCTTGCTTGTATCTCACTTCTTTTCCTCCAAAAGATTCACCAAAACACTCAAATATTAGCTCAAACACTCTCTCTTAGCTCAATGGCCGATTAAGGTTTCACACGCGGGGGGGGGGGGGGGGGGTAGCTGGTGAGGCGGAAATGAGGATATAAGTTTCCTTAAATAGGCCCCAATCCCGGGGATTTAGAGTTTCATCTCACAGTGCCAACTCGGCGAGTCGGCTCTTTGACTCATCAAATCGGTTATTAGACCCACGTGGTCAATTAATCTCTACTCAACGAGTTGAAGCACCAACTCGTCGAGTTGCTCAATAGATCTCAAAAATAAACAAATAAATAATAAACATGGGAGTCTGGATGTTACAGAAAGGCTGAAGATTTCGAGAGCATGGGTGGGAGAAGCAATCTCGTCTTATTTGCCTCCATTGACATCCCTAAGTATGATCAAATATTAACATAGTTTTCTTATAAACAGAATATTTCCTAAAAGTAAACATATTATATAATAACTTATTTCTCCAAAATCATAATTTGATTAATTACTTTAGTTTTGATGTAATAGATTTTCTTAGTTTGCTACTTTTAATTTAAAAAAAAAAAATAAAAAATTATAGGGTGTGTTCTTTAAAGAGATAATAACTTAAAATGATAACATATTTTTTGATTTGTACACATTTGGTCACTGGGTTTTTTTTTTTAATATATTTAACCATTTAACTTATTTTTTGTTCAGATTCAATCCTAATAATCGGCTACTTCAGGTTAAGCCGGAAAATGACTTAATAGGTAATATAATTTTCAGTTTGTACACATTTAGTCCTTAATGTCTTTGTACACATTTAGTCCTTATGACCGATTTTTTTAGATTTTGCTCACGACATCCTATATGGAACAATCATTAACGAGATGCTCTCATACGTGGCTCGTCCTTCACTTATATTAGTAACCTAATTCACAAATATGTCAAATAATATTTGTGTCTTATTTTCTCCATACAGGAGATGTTTTCGCCTTCAGTTTCATCTTTCTTCATTCTTTATCTTGGAAGTGCAAATTTAAGTTGAGAAAAAACAATTACAAAGAATCTTATTATCTATTATGGAGATAGATGAAATCTTTTGTCACTATGTTTTTTTGTCTTAGAAGTGCAAATTCTTTTTATCTTGAAAAATGCAAATTCCGGTTAGAATGAAACAATAATAAAAATCTCATTGTCTAAAATAAAATCTATTAAAAATAATCATTTGGATGCACTCTTTACCTTTTACAACTTAAAAGCTACTATTTTCTATGTTATATGGTTAAAAAAATCCCTCCCCTTCAGCCTAACTAACGAATCCAAAAGTAACTGAATTCGGATTTTTCCCGATCCCCAAAAGATTCGGAAGTCGTATGAATCCTTTCCAACCGCACATTCTACACGACCAATATATGCACACAAATGGAATCAACACCCTCCTTTCTCAAAGCCAAACATGGCGGGTGTAGGTGTGGGTATGGGTATGGTTGGCTCCAGAGTTATAGCAATCCATCATCGTCACCATAGAACCCTAATTCCTACCCCCCAATTCAACCTTCACTTCAATCTCCCTTCTATCCATTCGCATCGACCCTCCATTATGTCTGCAACTGCCGCCACTCCCAGCACCGCCGTCAACAACCCAGTTCTCCAACAAAACACGGCATCCACCGACTCAACCTCCGGTAATTAACCCCCTTCTCTCCTCTTTCTTATCTACTTTGTTTCGCACCTTGGAATACGTATCAAGATCATGTTTTTTTCTTCTGATCGCATCAAGATTGTTAATTTTTAGATTAATTTTCTCACCGGCACTTTATTCACACAAATAATTCAAGTTCGACTTTTTAATAGGTCAAAGTTTTTACCTTTTACTTTTCAAATTCAAAATCAATGCGAATTCTTGATATTATCTGATGATGGCATCTGAAAAGGGTGCTGGCCGGAATTTGCTAGCAACATCTCCGGCGAATGGGACGGATATGGAGCTGATTTCACCATTGATGGCCACCCAATTGAGCTTCCAGAAAACGTAGTACCAGATGCTTACAGAGAATGGGAAGTCAAAGTTTTTGATTGGCAAACACAATGCCCAACTCTCGCTCAACCTGAAAACCCTTCCGCCATTTACAAACTCATAAAACTCCTTCCAACAGTTGGTTGTGAAGCCGATGCTGCCACACGGTTTAATGTTGATGAAAGAACAATCGGAGGTCCCACTAACATGGTGTCCGCATTTGCATACCAATCAAGTGGGTCCTACACTGCTCTTTGGTCAACTCAAAAAGCAGGAGTCTTGGAGTTGGAACACTGTTTGATTGATCCTCGTGATAAAGAATCTCGTGTAAGGATTGTTCAAATCATGGGTTTTGAAGAAAAGAGTAAGTTAGTCTTGAAGAACATTAAAGTTTTTGTTGAGCAATGGTATGGCCCTTTTAGAAATGGAGACCAATTAGGTGGATGTGCAATTCGTGATTCGGCTTTTGCTACAACTAAAGCTCTTGATGTTTCACAAGTTTTGGGTATGTGGCAATGTGTAAACTCTAAAGCATACTTCCAAGATTCTCCCAATGTGAGTTTATCGCTTCTTTTTACACTTCAATACGATAGTCTTTTAAGGTTAATTACTAAAATGCCCAAAAGGGTATCATAAAGTCTACTATATAAATAGTTAATTCGTTTTCATTATCATGATTCATGACAGAGTGTTCTTCAAGAACTTAAACCAGTTGATGGTGTAGAAAAATCGGTAAGAGACAAAGAGCATCTTGTATTACTCCCAAAGAACTTGTGGAGTTCAATAAAAGAAACAGAAGATGGAGAAAAAACTTGGTGTGAGGTGGGATGGTTGTTGGAATCAGGGCGTGTGATTACATCTAAATGTATCTTTTCAAGAAATGGAGAGTTAAAAGTATGTAATTTGCTCCATATTTTGTTGTTTACAATTTGTTATATGTTTGCAATATTCATTCATGTGGATTTTTTTGCAGGAGATCATAACTTCATCCGAGACTACAGAAGTAGGAGTCTAGGAGTATGATGGTTTCAAGATTTCTTACAATAAGTAGATATAGAATAAAATGATATCCAAGATTTCATTTAAGAAGTCTTTTTATATGATTGTTTTGTTCAATGTGATAGATAAGTATTACCGAACAAACATATGAATGAGATGTGTAACGGATGTTTCTTGTAACAGATATTTTCTTGCAACTGTACATGTCATGTTTGCAACATTATAGATTGTATATTTTTATGTTTTTTGAACTTAGTGGCAGTTTGATAGTTGTCGTATGAGGTGTTGTTTGTTTTTCGAAGCTAAAACATTTGTAGTCTGCGGACCACATCTGCAACTAGGGTTGTAAACGAACCGAACGTTCAACGAACTGTTCGTGAACACAAATTATCGTTCGTTTAGTTAAACGAACGAACATGAACAATGGTCTCGTTCGTTCGATTATCTTCGTGAACGTTTATGATGTTCGTTTATATAAGTTCATTTTTTGTTCATATATGTTTAATTGTGTTTGATTACACTAATATATTATATGTTCATTTATGTTCATATAGGTTTGATTATGTTTGTTTATCTTTGTTCATTTATGTTCGTTTGTTTATGTTTGTTTAGCGTGTTCACAAACATAAACAACGTAATTTGTTAAACGAACAAACATGAACAATACAACTCGTTCGGTTTTCTGTTCGTGTTTGTTTATCTGTTTTGCTAACTTAAAAGAACAAACATGAACAAGATTTTGTTTGTATTCGTTTGGTTCGTTTACAGCCCTATCGGTAACCCTTTGCAGAAGAAGAAGTAATCAAATGTCTGCAAACTGCAATAAAAAATTTGTTTTTTTTAACGTATGCAGACTGTTGAAATTAACTATATAGTAGTTAAAAATAGTTTTAAATCCAAAATTTATTTAGGTTTAATCATATGCAAACTGAATATAAAGGTCATTGTGATGATATGATTTTTAAAGATGTTTATAGAAAATAATTAAACATAATAATTGCTAAATAACGCTTAATAAAATTGTTAATTAACAAACATGTTCATTTTGTTAATGTTTCCAATACGATGGTTATCTTCATTAGGTTTGGTAATTTAATGATTATCTTTATAGTTTATTAATATTTGGTAAAACGTATCTATATGAAATTTACAACGGTTTTGAAATTATGTAAAATATGTTTGAATTGTTTATAATATCCTCCACAATATTATTAAAATAATAAATATGTTGAAAAAATTAAAACAAATTTATGGTGAATAATATAATTTAAAATAACATCAGAAGTGGTTTGAAGAGGAGGATCCAATGTTGCGCTGCGCAGCGCAGATGTAACAGTTTTTAAGTCTGAAGTCTTTGAAAAAACAAAATTTTGTAAAAGGCCAAGTGTTCTCTCTTTTAAAAACAAACAACTGTGAAAAACCAAGAGTTGCGCGTGTTATGCATGGCGCAACCGAAAAGTGATCAAAAGTGATTTTTTAAAATAAAAAACAAACAACCCCCGAGTCAAAGTTTGATTGAGTCGGTACAACTTTTTATCATAGGCTACAAGACCTAGGACTTCGGAGGCTTCTAATTATGGTATTAAACAATCTGAATCTATCCGAATCAATCTCAACCTAATAAGAGGCTTGTGAACAGATCTTGATTGGCAATTTGATTTTGGTTTCTTGTGTAATAACTCACATGTCACAAGTTATCATCAAGTGAAAAACACATAAAGAAACATAGGCACAAAGTCTAATAGATTTTGTTTCCTATCAAAATTAAAAACAATAAAAGTGTCGTCGCACAAGAATTTGAACAACAATAAACAACAAACAAGAAACTGTGCACTCATTAAGTTCTTACATATCCTTTCAAGTAATACAACAAACATAAAACAAATAATAATGCTCAAACATTAAACATCCACTGCCACCCAACTCCTCCTCCCTCATGGTGGTGGTGGCAGCAGCGGCACAACCACTTAAGTCATAGCCTTGAAGCCTCCATTGCCAGCTGTACAATCTACAATATCACCACCTTTGCAGATATACTTAAATTAAAGAGCCCCTGGTGCATCTCTCATGCTCATATTCAAACTGTTGCGCATTGTTCTTCTTCCAACTCCTGCATTTCCTTTTGTCATCATTGCCACAAATTCCCCATAATCAATCCTTCCATCCTGTATAATAATAATCACAACATAATCTCATCATTCTTTCTTTCAAATTCCCCAAAAACCAATAAAAAAGAATACTTTACTCTTTTCACCAATATATATATAGACAATAGGAGAGCTTTTTATTGGAGCTTTTTTCATGAAAAGGCTTCAAATGAAAAAGGTCTTTGTATCTCCACTATAGAAGAGCTTTTTCAATTAGCTTTTTATCGATTGTTTTTATAAGTTGTCAATCCATAATTGGTTAAGAGAAAGCTCATGGGAAGAGCTTGTTAATTAACAAGCAAATTGAAAAGGTTTGATTTGAAAAAAGCTCCTCTTATGGCTTTTTCAAAATTCAAGACCTTTTTTGCTTGAAAAAGCACGATATAGACATACAAACAATATAGGATTGTATATTAAAATGTTGACTTTACGTTATCTTGGTCAACTTCTCTGATAATATCTTCTACAAGAAAATCAGTCATGTTATGATCTGCACAAGCTTGTTGAAGCTCATCAACCGTTATATAACCACTTCCATCTTTGTCAAAATACTGAAAAGCTGCAACAAGATGCTCCTCTCTTTCAAGTTTGTTTAAATGAATTGTAGCAGCTACAAATTCACCATAATCTATTGTCCCACTGTTGTCCACGTCAGCCTGGAAAACCACATGACATGTCAGCACAAACACCACACAACTTGACACGTGTACAACTTTTAACTCAAATAGTCTTATGATTTACCGCATCCATAAGGTCTCTTATCTCTGTATCTTTTAAAGTAGAACCGAATTTCCTTAATCCAGCTTTAAGTTCATCAAATGTAATTGCACCACTGTTATCAGTGTCCATTGCCTTGAACATTTCTCTCAATCCTGCAATCTCCTCTTCTGATAGGCTTTCAGCTATAACCTAAACACATTCAAGATTCAAGATTCAAGATTCAAGATTCAAGATTCAAGAATCAAGATTACTTTTTTATAAATCAAATGATATGAGAAAATCAGAAAATCAAATCTTTTTATTCAAAGTCAAACATGTTCTTACACGTAAAGCCATCTTCTTCAACTTATTCAAGATTCAAGATTCAAGATTCAAGATTCAAGATTCAAGAATCAAGAATCAAGATTCAAGAATCAAGAATCAAGATTACTTTTTTATAATCAAATGATATGAGAAAATCAGAAAATCAATTCTTTTATTCAAAATCAAACATGTTCTTACACGTAAAGCCATCTTCTTCAACTTATTCATTGCAGAGAATTGCTTCAAACGAGAAAGAACAGCTGGATCCAATGCTCTATCAGGAGCAACACCATTTTCACAAATCCAAGGATGACCTATATGCAAAATAATTCATATTACACTTTTTCAATAACACAATCTTTAAGATATCAAAATTAGTTTCACACTATTTTGAGTAAAAAGTCAACATACAAAGAACTTCATGAGCAGTTAGGCGATTTGAAGGCCTGGAACATAACATCTTCCTAATAAGATCTTTTGCACTATCAGATATAACTGGCCATGGGTCTGAATCAAAGTCTATATCTCCCTTCAAAACAGCATCAAATATCCCTTGTTGTGTTTCTACAAAAAGTCAAAGTCAAAGTCAACATTCCCGATAATAAAATCCATAACTAGTGCTTATTGCTTATAAGTTATAACAAATACCAGCCCAAAATGGAGGCACTCCACTTAGTAGTATGTAAAGTATCACTCCAGCTGTCCATACATCTGCTTCTGGACCATAATGCTTCAAAAGCACCTCAGGAGCAACATAGTATGGACTTCCTACTACATCTGTAAAGATTTGACCTAAAAAAAAAAGAAAGAAACAAAACCAAATTCATAATAAGATATAAAGATTTAGGCATTTTACAAGTTTCAGGTTATATATAGCTATAGAATATGATAATAATAATAATAATATACCTGGTTTGAAGAAAACTGAAAGACCGAAATCGATTGCTTTGAGAGAAAAATCATCATCTCTGTTAACCAATAAGAAATTTTCAGGCTTCAAGTCTCTATGCATAACGCCAAGTGAGTGACAAGCTTCAACAACACCAACGATAATCTTTGTCAATTCAGCAGCTTTTCTCTCACTATAATGTCCCCTTTGAATGATCCGATCAAACAATTCTCCACCATTACAAAGCTCCATGACGATATGAACATACAAAGGATCTTCATATGCACCCTTAATCGTGACAATATTCTTGTGTCCTGCTAAATGGTGCATTATCTGAATCTCTCTCCTAACATCTTCCAAATCCTCTTTTGAAATCAGCTTCCTTTTGGAAATCGATTTACAAGCGTAATCTATCCCTGTTGCGATTTCAGTGCATAAATAGGTAGTACCGAATTGACCTTGACCTAGCTTTTGACCTAATGTGTAGACATCGCGAATGTTATCGGTTTTATGGCCGAGAACATAGTAAGCTTGGTTGGAGGTTCCATGGCGACTCATGGTTATGGTGGTGTCTTTTTTGGGAAGAGGGAGGGGTTTCGGAGTGGGTTCTTTTGAGAATTCTTGAGATATGAGGTTTTGATTGATCAAGGTGGTGGGTGAGTAATCTAAAGAGTTGTTAGATAAAGCAGAAGAAGGGTTTTGAGTAGCGATTGAATGATCTTCGGGCTTATTAAAGCCTTCTGTGTGTTTTGTTCCTAAAGATCCACGGCATGTATTGCCCATAAAGCGATCAACTTCTGCTCATCAAATTTGCTGCATAAAGAGGTATCAAGTTGTACAAATTAGACATGTAACACCTCAAGAAAAGTTTCGTATTTTTTCTTAATAAAAAGATCTGTCAACAGATCGGAGAAGTAATCTTGAGTTCATAGTAAATAGATTGTTTGATTAAACAAGAAAAAACCAATCTGAGCGAACTTGCTGAAAATCAACAGAAAGACTTCAAATTTGTTGATTTCTGGCAAAACCCAGATGAGTAACTATAAAAATGGACAGAAAGATTTCAATTTGTTGATTTCAGGAAAAACCCAGATGTGAAACCATTAAAATGGACAGAAAGACTTCAAATTTGTTGATTTTAGGCAAAACCCATACGAGAAAATGAAATTAAATGACGAGAAAGACTTAAAAATAGATGAGAGCAACCAGAAGAAATCGATGAAATCAAGTATGGAGGTGCAAGTAATAAGATTAGAAGAGGTATAGATCTAGTAAAGTACCAGAAGGATGAGTATAAAAGTTAAAACGGCGATCAGGTTGAGGAAGAAGACTAAGGATGATGATTAGTGGATGAACAGCTAGCATGGGTGTTGACAAGTTTAAATTTATGAAAAGTAGGAAACTCCAGTGTTGTTGCCAAGAAGGAACGGAGGTGGTGGTGGAAGATGGGTGCTGACCAGCTTACTGCTCACCAATCTCCCTCTAAACTTCCTCTATCCACAATAATATTACACATTACTACCTCAAACTATCCATCAAATCCCCATAAACCCTGCAGAAACACCAAAACAAAAAATATAATCGGCTAAACATTCACATGTTATTTTAAGATGGGAAATTGACATTCTAACATAGCATAATTTGGTGTTTGTCTCAGATTGGTCATTTATTCTTTTTTTACACAATTAGTCATTAAAATAGCATATTATTACCTTCTAGATAAGGATATGAGTGATATATTGACCAATGTACATGTTAGAAGCTAATGTGGATTGACTTACACGCACCCAAAATGCAACGACACGGTGGCATAACTTCCTTAAATGAAGCCCTAATTTGAACCATCTACATAATGTTCTTACCTAAAACTAGGTCAGGTTGTTCCTGACAAGAAACTATTTATCTCGATAGATAAAAGACGAAGTTAATGTTTTCCTTGTTTGCTCGGACTAGAAACTCTAGCTTCGTCAATCGTGTTGGACATGGTGAGGAAGAAGCATGTCCTCTGTGTCGTTTTCAAAATGAGCTCATTAATGAACACACCTCCTAGAGTCATGATAATCTAGGTTGGAGGTTTTGGAACTTCAAGAATTCACTAGTGAGGTCCCTTCTTTCTAACAACATCCTCAATCGTGTTTTGATTTTGAACATTTCACATATTCGAAAGCCTAATTTTAAAGCATATCATATTAAGTAGTAACTGTATGTGATTAGTCAATTGTAGGGCCAAAAGTCTAATTTTTTCAAGTGGAAATATGATTTCATAGAGAATGGACACTACGAAGAACATCTACGTAAGTTGGGGAATGAGATTATCGAAAAGAAATAGCACAATGAGCTATTGAAAGCTAGAAGAAGGTGGTTGAACTGGAGTAGTTGAGGGTTGAATTGTAGTAGTTCATGGCAACTAAGAATAAACGTATTGAGAAACATGTCACGGAGATGAACAATAGGAATGTAGTGGTGACGTCTTACATAGGATTTACAAAGGGGGTGATTCTCTTTCTTTTGACTGCATTGACTTGCAGTTTGATAATGAAGTAGATGTAAGGAATGTTTGAATGTATAGTTTTGATGGTTGATGATAGATAATTCCAACTAATCTTTTGGATACTCTATGTATATGATCATGTTAGAAAGTATCTAGGTAGATGGAGGTTTTGGATAGATTATCAAGGTAGAAGGATTATAGTGCTTATGTTTGAAAACTGTTGGCCAATTTAAGTTATTTTGTACTAATGTTATTATGTAAAAAAAATAACTAAATAGTACATAAGATGTGTAAGATTCCATTCTTTATGCATTATGGATCACATTGTGAGCACTAATATTTTGTACTCTTATTTAGTTAATGGTGTGCAGGTTCTCAAAATCTTAAAAACTGTCGGGTATATGGACCATATTGTGTCATTTTCACTTAATTGAATTGTATGAAGATTCTCATAAGGAAAAATACATATTTTGGGACAATTGAAAATGGCAATATATGGTCAAGATGCTTGGGTTTTAAAACATTAAAATTCCAATATGCATGGCACTATATAAGTCTTTTTCATGGATGCAAGATTTTAAGCAACTTTATAACAAGCATCTTTATAACAACCAACTTACTGAATGATGAAATATAATAGCAACAAAAGTTTCAACAACTTAAAATTAATTTAACTAAGGCATATCATAATATCATCCAATAAAAATTATAAAGTTTTCTACAACTTAATTTAAGTTAACATACAAGCTAAAGTGTTTACTAAGATAGCAACCCACTTTAATCTAAATCAAAAGCTTTTTTCAAGTGAATTCTCAGGTGCATCTGCCTCACCAACTCTCTTGCCCACCTTCCACATTGCCACCTTTATTTCTATTGACCTACATGGCACAATATTAGTAAAGGAAAAGAAAATTAGTATTAGCAACCTTACTAAATATTTACTTAGACATCTGCTTCATTAACAACTCTTTGCGTATAGTTTATCATGACTTTAAATTTAAGGGGCCTTATAACGGTACAAGCAGTTTTTGTTATAGCATGTCACCTTATAAATGTTATATTTTTGTTTCTTACATCGACCTTTGGTTCACTAATAATTATATGTCTATTGTTTCTCCTTAATTTAATATTGTATACCTTCTCCATCATGTATTAACTCCTCCAACATTGTGATAATTGGCTTCTTCCTAGTATCCACTATAATTACATTGAAGCTTTTGACATTCCATTCTCCAAAACATCGCAACAATTTCCATGGTTGGAAAAATTCCCTTGATCAAGTCTTAGGGTCTTTTCCTATCATGTACTTATGAGCACTTGGGTTTACACACTTCAAGCTCTTTCATAGAAGCTTTAAAATCTTGATCGGTATATGCCTCTGACGCGTTCCAAAATATATTTTCATAATGGGAATCAATACACCCATTCTGTAACTTTTAACATATGTGCATAACACACTACATATGCTCTTCAAAGGGTAACATTTCTTTGACAGCCTTAATCAAACCCTATTAAAAAGGAATATATATATATATATATATATATATATATATATATATATATATATATATATATACATATATATATATAGTCAATGGATGTGTATGTAATGGGAATGAAGTAACTACCTTGTGTTGATATGAAATTATATCGTATCCATTTCCTATATTAAGTCCCAAGTCGTTAATAAGGAGATCTAAAAACCAGTTTCAATTTTATTTATTCTCTGCACACACATACTACTAGCCATGCAATAGGATAAATCTATTAGTTTTTATCCATACACACAATATGTAACAACTCTCCATTAGAAATCATTTTAATAAAAAAAATCATCTAGTTATATTATTCATCTTCGCCCCTCCTTCCATCTCCTTTTCATTCCATCAAAGCAAACATAGACCTTATTAAAGTAGTTCTTCCTATCTGGCATACACTTCACATCAATTTTGATACTAGAACTTAGATTTCATCTACTAGTCTCTGCTGCATATAACCATAGCTTTGCATAGTGCTCAACAAAAGTTTATTCTATTAGTTGAAATGCATATTTCTTAGCTCTCACACATTGACTTAGATTAATATGAATACTAAACTTCTTGACTTATTCTAGTCTCAGCTTTCTTACACTTATATTTTGCATATTTATGATTTCTTTTGTATAACTACTCCTTATCCAAGCATAAGTAACAAATGATCCCAACTTGTAGTTCCTTGCACAACTATGACTTGCCTTCAAATACTTGATTTGGAAGGTCTCTTCATCACTCATCCAAGATACATATAACTTGAATGTGCAATCACCCTTGCAATATTTAACCAACAACCTTCTCCTATTGTTTTTTACAAAGAAAAAATCAGTAGTTGTTGGCAACAACATAGTTGCATAATATGGTTTTTACATGAGCTGGATCTTAGAATCCCATACTAAGTATGGGCTTATACTTTTTTTCAATGTGTTAACTCATTAGAAATGGAATGTACTTGAATCTTGGGTCCAACTTCACCACAATCTTCTCCATCATTGTTGTTATCATCTTCCTCCTCTTTTGGAGCACATAATTTACCCAAAAAATTGTCATCCTTTATTCTGTTCATAGTCACTATATCCTTATTAAATTCCAATTCCCCATCTCTAAGGTTACCAATTTCTTCTTCATTTTATCCAACATCAATACACAAATCCTTTCCATCTTCTTTTATCTCATAACCATACTAATCCTATATTTCGTGGTCCACATAAAGAGAAATTATACCATCAGTTCCATAGGCATAAAAAATGAAACCAACATAGTCTCTATCATTTTTAATAGACACAATCCCATACAAAAAGGGGGATTACATGGCTCATAGTAGTATAGCTTCTTTATAATTTCCTTCATGAAATATTCAAGCTAGGTAAAACATCAAAGTATGTCATTCTAGAAAAATCATGATCATTGAAGGTGGATTTGACATCATGATTATACTGGAGAAAGGATTTCAAAGAAAAACACCTTGGCAGTTCAGCTCCACTTTAGGATATAGCCCATCGGGGTATCAGAGTTTGGGATCTTCTTAAGTTCGATTGGCAAACACGTTTAAAACCCTAGATTTTTCTAGTCATGTTTGGTCACCGAAAGGAGAATGAGTAAGATTATAGGTTATGTATGTTAATTAATGAGATGTGGATGTACTTACATGGCCTCCAAAATTTATTTTGTCTAATTTATTAAATGCCAAATCAGGAAAGTAACCGGTTTGTTCCTATATCACGGTGTATAATAGTGTAATTGACATGTAATATGGTACT